CGGCTAATTTTTTTTTAATTTTATTGTAGAGATGAGGTCTCACCAAGTTGCCCAGGCGGGTCTCGAACCTGCGGGCTCAGGCAATTCACTCGCCTCGGCCTCCCAAAGTGCTGGAATTACAGGCTGAGCCACTGAGCCCGGATATGAGTCTGGTTTTAAAAAGTTCCTGCAGGCTGAGCATTAACAAAAACCAGCCATGTGAAATTAAGTACAAGAAAAATATGAAGTCCTGAATTCTGGTTCTAAAACATCAAACATATTTGTCCATTAACCTAACAGATTATCTGAAAAAAGCAAAAAACAAAAGCAAAAGCTACTAGTTTTAGTGGGTAGAGAGATCAGAAAGATCTGACAGTGTGACTTAACCTGCAATTATACTACTCTGGGCCAGCGTTGTGTTAATAAAAGCATGGAGTTCAGATCGAGGAACATGTTTCCTCTCTAGTCTGGTCAGAATGCATTTCGCATCTGGGCAGCACATTTAAGTTGGCACATTTAAAACTTGAGTCTGTTGAGAAGAAGTGTGCTAAATGATCATCTATCTTAAAATGGACTAGTAAATGAAGAAGATTCAAAGAGATTTGGTTTGTTTTAAATGGAAGTAGAAGTGTTGATGAGAAGGGAGAGTGTGTCAGATGTGTGAAGGGCTGTCACGGGGAGAAAGGGGTTGGTTTATTTCTTGTGTCACAGAAGGAAGAATGAGGGGCATCGGACAGAAACTATGGAGGAAGAGACTTCAACTCAACGTGTTCAGTATAAGGGAGAACTCTATGCTGAAATGGACTGCTACACGTAGCAGTAAATCTCCCTTTCACTTATTCTGGGAGAGATTGGGTCATCTGTCAGGAATGTTCTGGGATGTTGTCTTAGCTTGAGCTGCTGCAATCATATACCACAGACGGTTCTTATGCAACAGAAATCTGTTTCTCACAGTTCTGGAGGCTGGGGAGTCCAAGATCCAGTGTCTGCCGAGGGTCTGCTTCTGGGGTGGCAGACGGCTGTCTTCTTGTGTCCTCACAGGGCCAAGAGCAGAGATAGAGGAGAGCAAGCTCTTGTGTCTCTTCTGATAAGGGCATTAATCCCATTCGCGAGCACTCCACTCTCATGACCTAATTAACTCCCAGAAGCTCCACCTCGTAAGACCATGACATTGAGGGTAAGGAGATCAGCGTAGGAATGGGGGGCACAAACATTCAGTCCACAACAGGTTTATTCCTAGGTTGGATCAGGTGAAGCTTCATTTTATATGAATTTAGGAACCTATCCTGGGTAAAATACATATATAGCATATCTCGACAAACAGCATTTGCCTAACCTGTGAGCACTTTGATCCAGTCCTAAACCAAGAGACTTCAACCATTTTTTCTGATCTACAAGTCCAAAGCTACCTTGAAGATTACATGATTTTTCAGTGAACATATGTAGATAACATTTACTTTACTGGACTTCTTAGGTTAGTGTGGAGTCAATATTATCCTAAGAATAAGTCTTTTCTTGTTGCTTTGAGATCTGAATAGGTATAACAGATTTTGGTTTTCAAGTGAACAGCTCTAGAGTGAAAGGCACCCCCAATTAAGAGAATTTCTCCTCTTGCTGTCTCTTAACTGCGAGTGATTTGGTCACGTTCATGGTGAGTTTCTGCCTTCTCTTTGACAGGATGGACGGGCGGCATCGTCAATTCTGGTTGGTGCTATGTTCATTTTCTGTAATCTCTACTCCACTCCTGGCCCGGCTGTTCGACTGCTATATGCAAAACGACCAGGAATTGGACTTTCACCATCCCACAGGAGGTAACGTAAGCTAGATTCAGGGTGGGCACAGACTTGGCCTAACTGATATCATGTGCTGTCTGAAATCCTGTCTTGGAGGTGCATTTGTAACTTTCTTTTAGTTTATCTGGCATTGTCCTGTATTATGGAAAAAAATGAATTGGAGTATTGGGTTTCCATACAGTTTCATAAGCCCCCAAGTGAGAATCTGTGATTTTAAAATTAGAAGAAAACTTTTTTTTTTTTTTTTTTTGAGTTGGACTCTCACTCTGTCGCCCATACTGGAGTGCATTGGCATGCTCCCGGCCACCGCAGCCTTGACCTGCTGGGCTCCGGCGATCCTTCCGCCTCAGCCTTCCAAGTGGCCAGAACAACAAGTGTGCACTACCACGCCTGGCTGGTTTTTGATTTATTATAGAGACAAGTTCTCGCCAAGTAGCCTGGGTGGGTCTCAAACCTGTGGGCTCAGGCAATTCACTTGCCTCAGCCTCCCAAAGTGCTGGGATGACAGGCTGAGCCTCTGAGCCCAGCCAGAAGAAAACTGTAGAGAATACTTTTGTTCACTTTCCTCATTGCATAAGTGAGGAAACAGACTAGACAGGTTGTGATCTTCCCCAGGGCTAAAAATACCTACTGACCTTGACCAGAACATCATTCCTGATCCCAAGCTCTAAGACCAGCCCCTTTCTGTTTCATGATACTGGTCTTTACTAAAATACACACAGTAGCTGGTTATGCTTAGCTGGCGATTCTCTTGTGGGGAACATGATTAATAAGAGAAAGTGAAAAAATAGAGAATAAGATATTTTAAGATTTACTCTTTCTTTTTTCTTTTTGAGTTGGAGTCTCACTGTCACCCAGGCTGGAATCCAGTCGCATGCTCGCAGCTACTGCAGCCTTGACCTGCTGGGCTCAAGTGATCCTTCCACCTCAGCCTTCCAAGTAGCTGGAACTACTGGCACGCACCACCATGCCTGGCTAATTTTTTGCTTTTTTGTAGAGACAAGGTCTTGCCAAGTTGCCCAGGCTGGTCTCGGACCTGTAGACTCAGGCAGTCCTCTCACCTTCACCTCCCATAGTGCTGGGATTGCAGGTGTAAGTCACCATGCCTGGCTTATGATTCTCATAAGGAAATAGATCGCAAAAGAAAATCTGAATAGTTGCTTTAAAAAGAAAACCCTTTCTAGAGAACTGGTTTATTTTCTTGCCCGTAGTGAAAACTTCTTCCCTTTTCTTGTTTAAATTGTTTCTCCTTACTTACACTGACCAGGTAGCTGGTGATGTGATTAAAGAAGTTATAGAATCCATAAAGCACTTCTTATGAGAAAATTCTAAAATTTATCCAAAGCCAGATTATGGTGGATAAATTTAATCTTCTAGAGAAAATAGGAATGGATATTTAAATATTGAGCTAGTGTAAAGCTCCCTTCGGCTTTTTGACTTAATAAATATCCCCATTATCAGTTCTTTGGGGAGTACAACAATGTCAGTAGATAAAAGCTTTCCTAAATTATCGCCTGCATTCTCTTTTGCTAGAGGAGGTTTAAGAAACTGACAGAGTAAATTTTTATTGTAACTTAATAATTTGCAAGAGCAAACTTTGTAGCAAAGATGGCTCATTTCCCCTGGTGTGAGGTGCCTCAGCAGAGTGGCAATCTTCTGTTTCAGATACCTGGGCTACATGTGTGACCTGCTGGCAGACAAGCCCTACCGCCCTCACTTCAAGCCTCTCACAATTAAGTCGATCACTGTCAGCCCTATCCCCTTTTTTAACAAACAGAGAAATGGATGTCGCCCTTACTGTGATGTACTGATTGGAGAAACCAAAATATATACCACGTGCACAGATTTTGAACGAATGAAGTAAGTAATGACGGCCCTTTCCACTTTTTCTCGTGCATTGCCCAGTTCTTGCATAATTGAGCTGGACCGAGTTGGAGAATGTTCTTCCCGCAAGACCCTGTCTTTGTGAAATGGGTGATCTATTTTTAAAATGCTCAAAATCAGTGGTGATCACAGAGATGTATGATTACATCAAGGGATGTCACAGCTCCTTTTCAGATCGCTTGGCGATAGAGACTGATGGACTAGATGAGCCATAATGAGGGTTAAGACAGTGGTGGCAGACAGAGGACGTGGGCATTGAAGAAGAAGATGGCCTTGATGGGACTTGGGGAGGGTAACAGAGGAATCGGTGAAGAATGAGGTCTCTAGGTGAACAACTACGCAGATGATAATATAATGAAAGATGTTATAGAATCCATAATAAGGAGCAGTGCCCGTGGGAGGTCGTATGTGGTGTGGAGAGAAGGGAGTTGGTGAAGACGTAAGATGAGGTTTGTTCTGAATAGACTGAATTTGGGGATTGGTATCTAAGATTGTGTGGAGTATGAGATTCCTGTTTCTATACTGATCTCGATGGGATTTTTTGTTCCCTTCATCTCTGCTTTTACTATTGATTTGAGGTTAAGAAAAGGCAAATACACCAGGGCTGTATGCGTTTGAGGAAAATGAGATCTACAAAGCTGATGGACAATTGCACCATTGGAAAGTCCAGATAGGATGGAGAGAGAAATCCTCACGGTAGACCAACACCATCCCATGGCAGGACTGGTTGACACTGGCCACACTCCTGTTTCTATTCAAGATAAGACATAGTTTCTGGGTCCGGTCCTGGGCAGACAGGTCCCTTGGCCAGAGCCACAGAGAACTATACCTGTGTCGGTGTGATTATAACAGATTGGACTCTCCCTCCTTCAATACATGTCTTTGTCTCTGTTTAAAGAGAATATCGTGTCCAAGATGGAAAAATCTTCATTCCTTTGAACATCACCGTGCAAGGAGATGTGGTTGTGTCCATGTATCACCTGAGGTCAACCATTGGGAGCCGGCTGCAGGCCAAGGTATGGTTTTAGGAAGAGTCACGGTGTAAGCTCGTCTGAGTCTTCGGCAGGAATGTTTCTGAATCTTTTCTCCACATTGCTTTGGGCTCAAGTGACTTGTGGCTTTAGAATGAGAAACAGCCCTTGAAGATTGCTTATATTATCTCTCTCATCTTACAGGAAGGAACTGAGACTCAGAGACATTGCGAGTTGCCCAAAGTCCTTGGCATGATGATGTCTGTGCCAGGAGTTGGTGGCCCTAGAACTTTTAGCAAACTACGCTTTTTAGAAGCCCGTGGCTTTCCTAGTGTCCCCTGTGGATCAGTGTAAAAGGGGAGAATTCTACTAAAGATGTATAATTAAATGATTGTATTATTGTCCTTTTTTTTTACTGAGATAAAATTCATATAACATAAAGGTCACCTCTTTAAAGTGTGCAATGCAATAGGTCTTGATGTATTCAAAAGGTTGTTCAGCTATCACCACTAATTCTTTTTTTTCTTTTAAAGATGTGGGGTACGATTCAGGGTTAGGTATACAAACGTTGATCATGCAGGTGCCCTTGTTGATGAGGTGTGCCCCTCCCTCCCCTGGCAGTTTCCCTCAGCAGTCAATCTCACCCCTCCTCCCCCAACTGTTTCCCACTACTGCCCATGCCTTTCTTATAGTATTATGATAATTGTTCAATATCTGCTTACGAGTGGGAACATCTGGTCCTCTGTGCTTTGTTTCTGTGATAGATCACTGAGCATGATAGACTCTAAATCCATCCAGGTTGCTGCGAAGTCCCTATGTTTGTCCTTCTTCGTGGCTACCTAGTATTCCACTGCATCACCACTAATTCTAGAACATGTTCATCAGCCCCCAAAGAAAGCCTGTCACCGCCAGCAGTCGCCACTCATTCCCTTGCCTTCATCCCCTGGCAACCACTACTCTACTTTTGTGTCTGTGGATTTGCCTACTTTGGACATCTCATACGATGGAATCACACAATACGTGGTGTTTTGTGACTGGCTTCTTTCACTTAGCATAATGTGTTGGAGCCTCGTCATGCTATAACATGAGTCAGCCCTTCATTCCTTTAAATGACCAAATAATATTTTATCATATGGCTATTTCAAAATTAGTCTCTTTATCAGTTGGTGAATGTTTGGGCCATTGCCACTTGTATGACTCTTAAGAATAATGTTGCGAATAATTGTATTTTAATTCATCAGATATTTGCTAAGTGCATGCTCTGTGCTAGTGTTTTTGAGGCATTTAGGATGGACAAGAATGAAACTGTGTCTCTGCCTTTAAGCAACTCACCCTCACAGGGGAAATTCATGTATGGACAAAGGGAGGGGGCAAAAAATCCTGGAATTATCTTTTGGAGGGCAGTCCCCTTGTAGTACAGGCTTCCCCCGCTTAGGTAAGTATTCTAGGAACCCATCGGCATCAATGTCCCAACTGGTGTTGTTGTGAGAGGCTGCATTCAGCTTCACGGGATTTTTTTTGTGGGGGAGATTCTTCAACACATTTGCCAGTTTCACGATGAGTGATTTATGAGCACACCTGCCCACACCATGCTTAGTGCTCAGCAGTTTTTGAACAAAAGTGGCATGACCCCCTTGTCCCACCCTCCCTGTGCACCCGATCTCACCCCGAGCGCCTTTCTGAGCACCTTTTTCCCCCCCTCTGGATGAAAGAAGTCCTCAAAGGAAATGTTTTGCCAAAGTAGAAGAGGTGAGACAAAAAAAAGCCGAAGAACTCAGAGGCATCATAACTGATGAGTTCGAAGGTGTACTGCATCAAACAGAGAGTATTTTGAAGGTGACTGAAGTTTAAACATGGAAGAATAAATGCACAATATTTTATAAATAAATTTTATTTTGGGAGGGTCCCCCGTAAACGTGTCCATAATACCATATTGGAGGGATGATGAGGTGCCATCGTGGAACACCTTATTTTTGCCAGTGGTGGCCCTGAAAGGCTACAGTGAGGACATGACCTTTCCAGGTGGGCCTTGAAGGATGAGTTCATCAGGTTGCCTGGGTAGAAGGAATGCAGTGAGTCAAAGTATGGCAGCATTCAAGAACGGGAGACTTTAGTGGTTGAGGACGTGGCTTGCCAAGGCAGAGTTATGGAGAGGAGAGGCTGGAGACGAAGCTGAACCCATTCTACATGCAGAGGTTGTTTAATATTCACAGTAAACAAAGATTCAGACATAGTGGACGGGGCATGGCTCCCGACAGTCTCATCTTTTGATCGGGTCCCTTTGCACGGATCGACTGGAATGTGCTTCTTTCTTGTGTTTTTAGGTGACCAACACGCAGATATTCCAGCTTCAGTTTCATACTGGATTCATACCACTGGACACAACAGTCTTAAAGTTCACCAAGTACGTACTGCTTGGGCTGGAAGTCAGCTACCATCGGTGCAGCTGTGAAGGGTAGAGGCTCTGTGGCACTATGCAAGGGCACCCTCAGAAGCCTCTGTGTCAGCAGCACAGAGAGGCTGGGTGCACTTTATTTTTCTTTTCTTTTTTTTTTTTTTGAGTCAGAGTCTCACTCTGTTGCCCAGACTGGAGTGCAGTGGCTGCTCCCGGCCACCGCAGCCTCGACCTGCTGGGCTCCGGCGATCCTTCCACCTCAGCCTTCCGAGTAGATGGAACCACAGGCGCACGCTACCACGCCTGGCTAATTTTTAAATTTATTGTAGACATGAGGTCTCACCAAGTTGCCAGGGCTGGTCTCGAACCCGTAGGCTCAGGCAATCTTCTCACCTCGGCCTCCCAAAGTGGTGGGATTATAGGTGTGAGCCACCATGCCCAGCTTTTTTCTTTATTATAAAGATGTGGGGTACACAATTCAGGGTTAGGTATACAAATGTTCATTATGCAGGTACCAGGCTGGGTGCACTTTAAAGCTTTCAGCTGGATATGATTTGTCTTGAGAAGTGCAAAGGGAGCAAAGACTTCAAATAGAGAGGTCTGAGATTCTATGCGGGGGAACAAGAGTAAACAAAGAGGGAACAAAGTATCCCTCCTTTTGATCCTTTGCACCTTTGTATCCCCTTGTGTTTGGTGGAAGCTGCAGGGCGGGCAGTTTCATCAGTCATATTTATCAGTCATACGGTATGAGCAGTGGCGCATCAGAACGGATGCCCGGCTGCAGCACTGACGCAGGGTCTGCAGGGTACCTGCGCACCAGACGCTAACCTGTATCACAGTGTGGTCGAGGGAGCTCAGGGGGACGGCTGAAGCCACAGGGGTGGGGAGGATGGGGGGGCAGGATAGGAGTGGGCGTTCCAGGGCCCAGGTGGGTAGGCCTATGTCACTGTTCTAACAATGGTTTTGCCATGCCAGCAAATACTGGCCAGATAGATCAGCCCTGCTTTCTGGAGTGCTTTTTCATGCTGTAGCATCCAAATTTGTTGAGCAGGCATCGTTTTCTTTTTTTCTCTAGATTAAGAAAAGGAAACTCAGACACATAAAATAACTTATGCAGTTATGATTGATTCTTCCTTAGACACGAATCTCAGAGTTCACCTAAGAGGGTTTTTGTGCTGAACATCATACTGGTTTCCTTGTTTCTCACTGTTTTTTTTTTTTTAATCCCTATTTAGGCCTGAGTTAGACGCGTGCGACGTACCAGAAAAATATCCTCAGCTATTTCAGGTGACACTGGATGTGGAGTTACAGCCCCATGACAAAGTAGTGGACTTAACACCTCCGTGGGAGCATTACTGCACAAAAGATGTCAATCCCAGCATCCTCTTCTCCTCTCACCAGGAACATCAAGATACATTGGCCCTAGGAGGTAGGAGTCTGCGGGTGGTTTGGTTTTCCAGAACAGAGTGGTTTGGTTTTCCAGAGCATGTTAATTGTCACATGGACTTATTTCCTGTGTTTCATGGATGCTGCCTGGCCTTTTGTCTTGCAGGACAGGCTCAAGGAGATATCCCTCCAGACAACCCCAGGCACGCTGGACAAGGCGGCTTCTTTGCCTCTCTCTGTTGGCAAGGTACTTCCATGCCTTTCTTTAGCCACATGTTCTGATGGTTGAGTGGTGTGTTTCTTCTATAAAGATGGTTAGTCCCAGGAGCAGCACTTGGAAGCCATCCAAGCTCCTCCTTGTTTCATACTCTTTCCACTTATCCTTCTTCAAATCGGGCAACCTCCACACTTTCAACTCCACGGATGCTCTTGGACTGACGCAAAAGGCCATTTTAAGTTGAATCCTTCTTTCACTGTCTCTGCTGTGTGTTGGCTCACACCTTCCTGGGTTGATGGATAAGTGTGATGTTTCTAGGATTTCCTTTTAGGCTGCTGACAATACGAAGAGGTTAACAAAGGAGTCTGTCTCCTGCTTTCGACTAAATATTCTACAATATAAAATCAGGGCTGGGTGTGATGCCTCATGCCTAGAATCCCCCAGTGTTTTGAGATGCCGAGGTGGGAGAGTTGCTTGAGGCCAGGAGTTTGAGACCAGCCTGGGCAACATAGGGAGACTCTGTGTGAGGCACATGCTTGTAGTCCTAACTGCTTGGGAGACTGAGACCAGAGGATTGCCTGAGCCCAGGAGTTATAGGTTACAGTGAGCTATAGTTGAACCACTGCACTTCAGCCTGGGCAACACAGCAAAACCCTATGGAAGGAGGGGAATGGGAAAAAGAGAGGGAGAAAGAGAGAAAGAAAGTAGTATAACTCCTAGACCACTTAGCAGGACAGAACTGATCTTACCTTGGTACAAGGAAGGCAAACAGCAGAGATTTGGCCTATGTTTCTGCTACTTGCTTTAAGAACTATAGCAGAAATCAGGGCTTGATCACTGCGTCCATTTCTCTCAAACTTCTAGATATTTTCAGAATCCTTCCTGGCATAACACTTCCAACTGCAGCCACCAGGAGACTGGCGTTGGCATCCTGATCCATACCCTCTGGGCATCCTTGCCCCAGAGCTGGTAGAGGTTATTTGCAAGGTTCAGTGTAAAATTGAGTAGTCAGGGCTCTGTGTGGAGGGGGTGGGCAGCTGACTTTGGGGCTGGTCTATTCAAAATTCTCTCTGTTGGCCTTCCTCTGATGTATGAATATTTTTATTTTATTTTTTATTTTTTTTGAGTTGGAGTCTCACTCTGTCGCTCAGACTGCAGTGTGGTGGCTGCTCTCAGCCACTGCAGCCTCGACCTGCTGGGCTCTGGCGATCCTTCTGTCTCAGCCTTCCAAGTAGCTGGAATTACAGGCGCGCGCTACTACGCCCGGCTAATGTTTTTTTTTTATTTGTTGTAGAGATGAGGTCTCGCCAAGTTGCCCAGGCGGGTCTCGAACCCACGGGCTCGGGAAATCCACTCACCTCGGCTTCCCAAAGCGCGGGATTACAGGCTGAGCCACCGAGCCTGGCTGATGTATGAATATAAGACCGTATCTCATTGTCTATAGAAGTTTTCAACGTCTGGTGGAAAAAAATGTTCACAAAGTTTCTTTGAACTGAAAGGCTGACTTCAGAATTTTCATTTAAGAACTGGGACTAGCAACTTCCCAGACGCTGGAAAACCCAGTGATGCCTGGACAGCAGGTGGATTTCTCAGCCCCTCTCGACTTTCCTTACCTCTTGTCTTTCTCACAGGAGGGGCTTTTACTAAAATGCCACTCTTACCTCTCCATTGCCATTTCATAAATTAATGAATAACTTAGAAATAATTCCTGCAGACTCTGAAACAGGCGTTAGCACAGATGTGCATCTGAACCTCTCAGGGCTGGATGTGTTTAGGAAGGCAGAACTGTCTGGATTTTAGAAAGGTGGTACAGTACATAAACTATATAGCCCTGAACATCCCCAGTGGCATCTCAGGCAACAACCTATAGTCAAACACTAATATTTCTGCAGTAAAACATATGCATGATAACTCCCAGGGAGATAAATAATGTATTTTCAAATCTGTTCCAGTCAGTTTTCTACCAACTGAGTTGATGCCCAACTTAGGAAAGCCTTTCCTTTTCAGTGCATTTGTGCTGTTTAGAATGGTGGACAGAGGGTGTGATCTGGGCTTGATTTGGAAGGTGGGCACACCCCATATTAAGTAACCCATTTTCTTGGGAAGCTCTGCCTCAAGAAGGCCTGGAAAGTCACTCCTTCCCCAGGAAAGGTCTCATTCCCGCCGACCACGCTGTGTTGCAAGTATCTGCTTGCCGCTTGGTATAAGGACCATGCAATGCTTCTCCCTCTCACTAGGTGTGTGCTGCACCTTGGCTCCAGGCTGTGGGAGGGCAGCTTTGCTTTTGGCTACAGATTACCAGGAGAAGCCAAAGATAGTGAGAGGTGACAAGCAGATAAAATTGACAACCCCCACCCCCCAAAGCACCTGGCATAGTGCCCAAAAAAAGCCAACACTTAGGTACTGTTGCTATTGATTGGAGGACTTGACAATACCATCTCATGTAATTCTCACAGTAGCCCATGAATTTGGTACGGTGTACTGCTCTCATTTTGCTGAGGAGAAGACCAGGGCACAGAGATGTAAAGTAACTAGCCCAGTGTCACAGAGCCAGTGAGTAGTGGAGCCAGGATTCCATCGCAGGCTGTCTGGCTCCTGAGTTCCACTCCTTACCCCTATACTGTCCTGCCTCTCAGATGCTGAGCAAATGGTGGTTGAATATAATGTGCAATACCCCTATTGGTAAGGCTGCGAAAGCGCTGTTTGCCCTGGGCTGAATTCCTCTCTCTTTCTGGAATTATATAGCAAAACCCAACAGTGCTGTAGTCAGAGGCTAACTGTTTATGGGTGCACTGGCCTTCCGCAGATCAGAAATCAGAGAAGTCATTCTGTGAAGAGGATCACGCTGCCCTGGTGAATCAGGAAAGTGAGCAATCAGATGATGAACTTCTGACTCTTTCCAGTCCACATGCTAATGCCAACGGTGACCGGCATCATGGGGCCAAGAAGCCCAGCAAAAAGCTGCAGGAGCCAGCTGCCCCCCCGCCCCCTGAGGACGTGGACCTTCTGGGCCTGGAAGGGTCGGCAGTGAGTAAGAGCTTCTCTCCGCCAGCAGCGCCCCCCACCAACTCCGAGCTCCTGAGTGACCTGTTTGGGGGTGGCGGTGCGGCTGGCCCTGCCCAGGCCGGACAGTCAGGCGTGGATGACGTGTTTCATGCTGGTGGACCTGCGTCTGCCCAGTCAACACCACGCCGGTCTGCCACCTCCGCCTCGGCATCTCCGACCCTGAGAGCAGGAGAAGGTAACTGTCTTCTTATCGCACGTGCCTCTTAGTCTTGAGTTATAGTCTTTGGGCCGAGCAGCCACTGTGATTGAACCTTCCTAATAAACTAGACTTTTCTGGCTTCTGAAAGGTCTATGTCTTCATTTAAATAGAGAGCGCAAGAGAAAATAGAAATACTGTCCATTTTGGTAGGACGGCAAGGTAGTGCAAGAGTGGATATTTGAGCTTCACACTATATTTATAATTTTCTTTTTTCAGGATTTCAGTTTCTGAGCAGCTTTAGTTACTTCTGATTGGAGATGTAGATTGATGAATTATTATTTATAAGAGCTAATATTTATGGAGTACTTACTGTTTCCCAGACATGGAATTTAGCAATAAACATGATGTGATTCCTATAAAAACCGAGTAAGTAAGTGCTATTCTTATCCCCCTTTTAGAGTTGAGGAAGTAGAGGCTTAGAGCTCAATTAGCAGTGTAAGTTTCTATGACCGTAATGTGTGGGGCCACGGTTCAAAACACGGCCATTGACTCTGGAGTGTTTCCTCCATTTTCCTGTGATGCCCTCCTGGAACTGTAGTTTTCTGAATAACCTTTGGCGGTGCAGAGGAGTGACTAGTGATTTCAAAATGTGTTTAAGTGAGTCCTGCCAGCAGCACAGCTGACAAGAGCAGAGGTAGCAGGGAAGGAGACGAACCCCACGGGCCCAGTGAGTCTCACTCTGCTCAATGCCGCCCACTCAACCCTTCTCTGACTGGTTATTCACAGTTTTTTGACATTTACAGGACAGTGTAGCTGAGCAAGCAGAGATCCATTTCCGCTTTTGAAGAACCACCTCAAACCAACTGCCCCTTATTGTCACCATTAACCAAGATATACCACTTTAGGAAGGCTAAAGAGAAATGTCTCAGCTCTTCAGTATACTGGAGTATACTGCAGGGACTTTCTTCCCCAAGCTTACCCTTCACTTCTCAGAGGGCTCTGGGCTGGCCTTGATTTGTGGTGGTTCAACTGGAGCGTCTTTTATGAGTGGGTCTCAGAATCAAAGTTTATAGGGGTTGAGGCTTAAGTTCCTACATTAGTTACTGGTGCAGCTGGGGTATGAACTCAGGTGCCTAGTCAAGGCTATTTCCTCTCTACTTTTTTCCATCTGACTTGCCGAAGTGAAAAAACCTCTGTCAGGAAACAAGATATCCTCAGGACCCAAGGGAGACTAGTACTTGATGGGTGCATTTTGAGACCATGCACCTTGTGTGACTTCCAATGATCTCTTTCATCATACTCCCATGCAGAGAGTTGTATTCCAGTGCCAGCACTAGAAGGGCCTTAGACATCAGTTAATTCTGTGCTGCAGGTTATAGACAGTGAAACCGAGGCCTAGATATGTTGGTTGACCTGCCCGAGGATACCCAGTAGACTAGTGGCAGACCCAGATCCAGAACGCCACTATTCTGTCACCCGAGAGGAAATAGAAAGAATACCAAACCTAGAGTTAAAGGACTAGATTTGAATCCCAGGACCAACATTTAACTATCTGTGTCACCTTATTGAAAAACCTTAACCATTTTATAGTTATAAAATGGGAATAATACTTATCAGTATTGTTATGAGGACTAAATTTTGAGCTCTTGTGGTATTAGGCAGTGGTAGTTATTGGAGAATGCCTCTAATTTAACACAAATTAATACTTAAAATGTACTAAACAGTAAGAAGGGATAAGGCTAGTTGACACATAAATCCCACTCTTAAAACCCGGGTAGAATACACAGTTTAAGGAATATTCAACCAGTGATGCCTCCACTAGCGTAATGCTCTCCTAACATCATGTGCGCTTGTATAGTGGCTGTGGTATCAGCTGGGTGGTTCACCCAACAGATAATGCAGACTGCTTCTTTGTCTACAAAGATGGGATTATTCACATGTGTCAGAGATTTTGGGGGAGGGGTGTCTGTTGTTAGCCATGCAGGAAGTTTTGAGGCTAGGATGGGCACATTGAGAAACCCAGGAGGCATGCAGAATCCTGATCTTTCAAGCGTTTGGTCTGAGACCAGACAATAGTGACAGTTCTTCAGTAGTTAGTGAATGAATGAACTCATCGGACAAATAAGTGCATTTCCCCATTGTTTCCTAGCTGCCACTTTTGACCCATTTGGAGCACCTTCTAAGCTATCAGGGCAGGATTTGCTGGGTTCTTTTCTGAGTACATCCAATGCGTCCAGTGACCCCTTTCTCCAACCTACAAGAAGTCCTTCACCCACAGTGCACGGTAAGGAAGTATTTTATATTGGGTATGGTGGAACATAGCTTTCCGCAAGATGTCAATCGGTGCTCAGATATAAAATATCCCATGGGTGCTTTTTCTTAAAGAAAAGGTTACATCGTGCATCTCTCTTTTGGAAATTCACATCCCCACGAACATATTAAAAGCTCTGGGGTGTCTTACGAAAATGAAGCCTGCTTCGCTTTGTTTCACTCAGCTTTCCTAAAATGGACTTGACTGTGGAATTCTTTGTTGCATTAGCACTACGTGGACAGGATTGCAAAGTCACCATTGATTGTAGGATGTATCATTATTTTATGTACCAATGAAAAAGAAAGAAACGTGGCACTTTTAAATGATTGGAAGATGCATCCTGGTTGGACAGATGATCTTTGAAACGTGGAAAAGTATGTCTTAAATTAATACAGTATATTTGTATTTCACAAAATTAGCATTCCACAGAACAAAGCTTGGAACAGCTACTAGCGACACATGGTTGTTGAGTTACTTGAACTGTGGCTAGTCTGGTTTGAGGTATGTTCCAAATATAGAATGCATACCAGATTTCAAAGCTTAGTACAAAAAGAGAATGTCAAATATCTCACTAATGCTTTTTTTATTGGTTATGTGTCAAAATAATACTTTGAGTATATCAGGTTAAATATAATACATTATTAAAATTAATTCCACTAGTGTCTTTTTACTTGTTTTAGCTGATAATTACTAGGAAACTTAAAATTACAAATGTTATTTTTATAATAATAAAATTACAAATGTTATTTTTATAATAATAAATTAATATTAAATTATAATGTGTTATAATTACAAAAAATTATATTTTTACGTTAGAGAAGCTTAGGTTGCAAAGAAAGAATAGTAACCTAACATGCATTTTTAAGTGCAAAAGTGTATCACTTTGCTGACACTGATTAAAACTAGAGCCCTGGGCAATCCCCTGGGGTCCCCTTCAGCTCTGGGAGCTTTTCTGTCCTCTCAATGAATCCTGCTTTCTTAACAAAACAAAAACAAAAAAGCAAAACAAAACCTGGAGCTCTGCAGTGAAGGACAAAGGGCTTTGAACCAGAGAATTGGAGCTCATTCCTGATGGTGAAGGCTATTGAACATTACTGGCCATGACCTAGAAGGCAGCTAATGGCTGAAGGCACCCTGAGCTTGCTTGGAGAACACAGTCCAGGCATCAGCTTGACTTTAGGAAGCCATGCCAATGCAAAAGGAAGAGTTCTGCAACGCAGGTCAGATGAATTTGACTCAAAAGAGATATCGGCTCAGGAGCAACCTTTCTGGGTGATTTCCAGCTGTTTAAAGTGGCCCCACAGGACAGCATACAAGAAACTCACCTCTCCCCCATGAGCTGTGCCCACTTAAGAGAGTCTCCTGATTGGATGTTGATTACCTGTGGGAGAAAAGATGCAGGCATATAAGTTAGAGTTATGTTTGCTCACTCATTTATAATGTAAGTTATCTCATTGCTCTGTTCCCACTGGCTTCCCATGTCACTCTGCATAAAGCCAACATCTTTGATATGGCCCTTGTAGGCCCTGTGTGCTTGGCGTCCCAGTGCGTGCAACCTCGTTTCCTGTTCTCTCCCCACTTGCTCACTCAATTTTAGCCAAATTGGCCCCTTTACTGTCACTCTGGCTGTATACTGTGCCTTGTACTCTTCCCAGACATCTGCACGCTAATGCCTTCACCTCCTTTGCGTCTGTGCTCAGATGTCACCTTCTCAATGGTGCCCGCTCTGACTGTGCCATTTCAGATTGCAACTCATACCCCCTTTCCATTGTACCTAGAAACTTCCAATATATGGAATAATTTACTTATGTGTTATGTTTATCTTTGTTTTATCTATGTCTTATTTTTGTTTTATCTATGTATAATTATTATCTACGTTTGACCGTATGGGCAAAGCCTAGAGGTGCCTTAGAAAGAAATTATTTCTTATGGCATCTGATTTCTTATCCCCACTAGAACATGAGCTCCACAAAGGCAGGGATTTTTGTTTGTTTTGTTCATTAATGCATCCCTAGTGCCTGGAAGAATTACTTGCCCACAGTAGGTGCTATCTATCTTTCTATCTAATTTAGAAATACAAAATGAATTAACTCACTTTCTCCATCCAAGTTTCTTTGACGCATAGTGATTGTGTCAATAAGGCTATGTGTTTCCCTGATTTGAATGCTTTGAAGTTCTTGCTTTGATGAGAACAGCACCTTTGATGTCTCGTGGACATGGGTGTTCACACTTCAGCATGGCAGTTCTGGATCTGAGGAGTGGTTAAATAGGCTGCCTGCATAGACAGGTTGATACTCCTTGGTTTTGTGGCTGCGTTTCTCCCTTTGGCCTGTGTTATGCCAGTGATTAAGAAGAATTTTCCACTGTCTTTGCTCCGAAAGCAATTATTATTATACTCTTCATGAGTCAATTGCATCATCTTCGTATAAAATAGCATATAGGTGACCCTCAGATGTCAGCTTTGGGAGTTCAAATTGCCCACCTCCAAATTCTGGGGTGCTTCCCTCACATTTCTAGAAGGCATCACCAATCTCTTCTGAAAATCTCTTCTGAAAATCTCTTCTGGAAATACCACCCTTGAGTTCAACAAATATTTACAGCACATCTATTCTGAAGAGAACAATCACTCAGGACACGGTGTTGGAAGAACAAGTAAACAGATAGCCATGATTAAAGGCAAAATAGAGATTACAGATATTAGGTTCACCTTTCCCTTAGTCTATTCCTATCTCTCCAACATATTTTACATTTCTTGAGGATAGGCAATGCATCCTTTAGTTCTCTGTCCCCTGGTGACATGCCTGCATGCAGCAGGTAGTCATAAATAGCTTCAGTCATATGGTTAAAGTTCCAATTCCTATCTCGACATCTCATTTGGATATGAGACTAATATGAGCTTAAAGGAAATCAGACAGCAAAGTGAGCAAAACTGTGTAATTTCCACCTCAGTCTTCATGCACTACTGTGGAAAAAGAGAAGGGAGGAATAGAAAGGAAACAATTGTTATTCCTGGTAATGTGTGTTCTTTTTAACTTCATTATGAGAAGGAACAAGATGGTTGGTACCAAGTAAACAAGAGGCAAAGAAAAGGCTTGGAGTGCTAATCTTGGTGCTTTCATTTTTTTTTTTCTGGTGGTGATAGTGTTTGGGTGTGTGTGTGTGTGTGTGTGTGTGTGTGTGTGAAATCTCATTTGCAGTGTCAGTTTAGTATCTGTATTTTATTCACTGATTTTTATGGCCAAAACCTAGAGAGATGCCTTAGAAAGAAATTCTTATGGCATCCAGTTTCTTATGTATATTTTATAGATGTAGAAAAAACATACTCCTTATATGTATGCCTCTAGTGCACCTGATTCTCTTTAGCTTAACATTTCTTTTGAATTATAGGTTTAGAACTTTGAGGGGCGTCAGAATGACCTATTCTGAAGCTGAAATGAGTTTATTTTGAGTAACAGTAGACACACCCCTGCCACCAGCATAGAGGAGGGTATGTAGCCAGTACCCAAAACATGCTCTGAATGACTCATCATTCTCAAATCCTGTCACAGCAGATAAGAAAACAAAATTTCAGTTCAAAGTGGGTCATGTCTCTGATACACTTGTTAATGCTCAGCTAAGGTGAATTAAGCTCACCCTTTTCTTTGTTGCCCACTGACTGTGTTCAGTATAGAAGTGGGACACATATATAAGATAGTTCTTGCCTTCCAGGGTCTCACAATTTAATGAAGACAGGCACATGCTTGTTTATAAATCACAGAGTGTGGATATGGAGTAAAACAAAGGTGGCCCAAAGAAGGAGCAGAGACAAATAATACATGATTCTACCAAGTCTCCTGTGAGCGACCTTAGGGGAAGGTAAAACACATGGAGGGCTGCAGAGTGTCATGGAAACTGAGAAGGGAAAGGAATCCCTTGGGATCTTGGGAGTCCATGTAGACTTCATGGAAGGGATGGCGTTCTCCTGTGTGAATTCAGAAAAGTAGATTCTGAGCTATCTTGTTCTCATTCATTTTCTTCTCCCCATTTGCAGCTTCTAGTACCCCTGCTGTGAACATTCAGCCAGATGTTTCGGGAGGTTGGGACTGGCATTCTAAACCAGGTAAAAGGCAGCAGGTGATTTTTTTTTTTTACACATTGAACCAGTTGCTAAAGCATAATTCTTACCCAAGGTGAAGTGAGTGCTCATAGAGTGCTATAGTCTACCTGTGTGATTTGTGTTGTTTTTTCCTAAGGACTCACTCATATTCTGAAGAGGCTTTTCCCAATACATCTGATTACATGGTAGTGCTACTTGTTAATTTTGAAGTCTCATTTGCTGAATGGAAGCAGAAACAGAAACATTTGACAATAGAAACAGATTTAGGTATACATGAGGTGTGACAATTAAGTTCACAAATTCATCCTAGGAAAAGTGCTCCATACCTCATTGCTGAATACTACCACAGTCACCTTCGAGTACTCCCCTTGGGAAGCTATGCACCCATGCCACCACCTAACTCACTGGTCAAAGCAATCTTGGAACTCTTTTTCTGGAATGGCTGTAAGAGCTGTCATCATATTACCCTTGACATCCTGAATGTTATCAAAATGTCTTCCTTTCAATATTTCCTTTATCTTTTGGTAAAGAACAGAATCACTGGGAACCAAATCAGGTGAATAGGGAAGGTGTTCCAATACAGTTATTTGTTTACTGGGTAAAAACTCCTTCACAGACAGTGCTGTGTGAGCTGGTGCATTGTCATGATGCAAGAGCTCTTTTGGGACCATTTTTGCACACACTTTTCTCATGCCAAGATTTTCAGTTAAGGTCTTCCTGTTTCTCTATTGATGTTTATTTGGTCTGCTATGCTTCTCACAGTCAGCAGATGATTTCGACGTACAATTTGACAAATTTTTGCAATGTTTTTGCCAGATCAGCTCATTACTGGCCATCCTGACCTCTCTTCATCAGCGATGCTTTCTCTCCCTTCATAAAAACATTTAATCTGTGACCAGGCTGGTCAACATGGTGAGACCTCGTCTCTAAACTAAATAAAAAAAATTAGCCGGGTGTGGTAGTATGTGCCTGTAGTTCTGGTCACTTGGAAGACTGAGACAGAAGGATTGCCAGAGACCAGTAGGTCGAGGCTGGTGTGGCTGTGAGCATGCCACTGCACTCCAGCCTGGGCGACGGAGTGAGACTCCAACTAAAAAAAAAAAACAAAAACAACATTTAATCCATTTGTACACTGTTGTTTTCTTCATGGCTTTATCCCTATAAACTTGGACTAACATGTCCCTGATTTTACTTCCACTCTTGCCAAGAAATTTAATGTTTTTTCTTTGCTCTAATTCAAGCTCTGACACTCTCGCGACAGTGCACAAAAGCATGCAGCAACAATAATGAATGCCACTCATCAAGGAACAACCATATGTTGACACAAACACAGCTGTGAGACACTGAGATACCAAGGTTATAAAACCTGACTGAGCTGTTGCTAACATATATACATGGTGGCAAGTTCTCAAACCTAATTGTCAGACCTCGTACTTAACTCTGTCTCTTAGAAACTCTTAGATTTTTTTTAAACAAATCTGAGCTTCAGTTTTCTTATCCAAAAAAAGGGGGATAGTTATTTTTGTCCCACACAATTGTGTAAGTTTTAAGTGAATTTATATGAATGTTTCTGGCATAGAGTAGATGCTGAATAAATGTGAATATTCTTTCTTGTTCACAAAGTACTTATGTTTGTCTGTAACAAAGTCTTTTCCCCATGGCTATGATGGCATTTACTGAGAGCTATCTTATGTGACTTCCTTCCCAACACTCTGCAAGTTAAGCACATGTGTGCATACTCACAAACACAAACACATAGCATGCTTATCGCAGCAACTTTCTCAAGCAATCACTGTTCCTTTTATTTTAGATTGTGGCAACCCTCCACCATAACATAAAATTCACCCTCCCAGCAGTTTCCAAGTATACAATACAATATTGTCCACTACGTGTACTGTGTTGTGAAGCAGATCCCCAGAACCGCCTACCCTACCCCTCTGACCATCCTGCATAACTGAACCTCTGCACCCACCCAGCAACTCCCCACTTCTTCCTCCCTCCAGCCCCTGGCGACCACCATTCTGCTTCCTGTGTCTGAGTCTAACTACTTTAGAGATTTCACATGGTGGAACCCTACAGATTTGTCTTTTTGTGGCTGGCGTATTTCACTTAGTGTGATGTCTTCAAGGTTCATTGTGTTGTAGCATATGACAGGATTTTCTTCTTTTTCTTAAATTTAAAAACATTTTTTAAATTAACAGATAACATTTTATGTATTTATCATGTACAACACAAAGTTTTGTCAAGTATAGACACATTGTGGAATGTTTAAACACAGCTGATTAACAAATGCATGACCTTATATAGTTATCATTTTTGTGGTGAGAATGCTTGACACTCTATGTTTTCAAGAGTACAGTATCTCATCATTAACTATAGTCAGCATGCTATACAATAGAGCTCTTGAACTTGTTCCTCTTATCTAGCTGTAATTAAACATCCTTTAACCAATATCTGCCTGGCCCACCCTGCAATTACCTCACTTCTTATAACCATCAATCTACTCTCTACTTCTATGAGATCAGCTTTTTTTTTTTAGCTTTCTCATGTGAGAACATGTGCTATTTGTCTTTCTGTGACTCGCTTATTTCTTTTAACATAATGACCTCCAGTTCTATCCAATTTGCTGCAAATAACTGGAATTCATTCTTTTTTAGGGCTGAATAGTATTCACGCACGCGCGCGCGTGTGTGTGTGTGTGTGTGTGTGTGTGTATCCATTTGTCTGTTGATAGACACTTAGACTGATTTCATATCTTTGATGCTGTGAATAGTGCCACAATAAACATAGGAGTGCAGGCATCCCTTCGATATAGTGTTAGATATACTGATTTCTTTCCGTATATCCGTAGTGGGATTGCTGGATCATATGTTTGTTCTATTTTTTGTATTTTAAAGAACCCACATACTGTTTTCCATAATGGCTGCACCAATTTATATTCCTACCATCAGTGTCTTTAGTTTCTCTTTCTTCTACAACCTTGTGCATACTGGTGTCTTTTGTCTTTTTGATAATGGCCATTCTAACAGGAGTGAGGTGATATGTCATTGTGGTTTTGATTTACATTTCCCTGATGATTAGTAATGTTGAGCGTTTTTCATATATCTGTTGGCTATTTGTATTGTCTTTTTTTGAGAAATGTCTATGCGTGTCTTTTGCCTGTTTTCAAGTCAGGCTAATTTTTCTATTGAGTTGTTTGACTTCCTTATATATTTTGGATATTGACCTCTTGTCAGATAGTCTGCAAATATTTTTTCCCACCTGGTAGGCTTTCTCTTCACTCTGTTGATTGTTCCCTTCCGGTGCAGAAGTTTTTTAGTTTGATTAATCCCTTTAGTCAATTTGTGCTTTTATTGCCTGTGCTTTTGGGGTCATATCCAAAAAATGATTTCAAAACCGATATCATTTGTTTTCTTCTAGTCGCTTCATAGTGTCGTGTCTCAAATTTAAGTCTCTAATCCATTCTGAGTTGATTTTGTAGATGGTGAGACACAAGATCTCTTTACTCTGTTGCCTTTTTGCTCTGCAGAGTATACCTTACTGCACCAAAGTTATTAGTTTGATGTTGTCCCTTTTGTCAGTTTTTCTTTTGTTTCTTGTAACTCTGGTTTTATAACATTTCTCCTTTTTTTTTTAAAACCAATGATGAAATGTTGAAGCTCAGTTAAGTAAGATTCCCAAACTCACTCAGTTGAGAATCAGCAAAGCCAGAATTCAGATCCAGATCCCTTAGGAAAGAATGAAGTCAGGTGACATGAGAGGTAAACAGAGGAAATGCTAGTTCATACATGTGGCCAGAAAAAAGCATCTGTGTTTTCTGTGTCCTGTCCTTGCCCTAGGTGACCACTCACCCAGGTCACAGAAATGGGGTCTAGTAACTTTTCACGTATTTCCAAACCCTGTCCTAATTTGCCTAGGAGACAAATGAACAGTAGCTCAGAAATTTTGAATTTCAGAATTCAGCCTCAGACAACTACCTTATTTTCAATGATCTCCTTTCCTTTCAGGAGGCTTTGGAATGGGAAGCAAGTCAGCTGCCACCAGTCCAACAGGGTCCTCGCATGGTACTCCCACCCATCAAAGCAAACCCCAGACTCTGGATCCTTTTGCTGACCTTGGGACGCTAGGTACACACTCATCTGATTAAGACAAAAATAACATTTACTTATAGCTACAAATCCTCAAGTCTAAATCTTGGATGTTGCAATAAGCTGGTATTGTCACCTGGGACCTAAAATAATGTGTATATATTTTTTCATTGTAAAGATATGGGGTACAATTCAGGATTAGGTATACAAGTGGTCATCATACAGGTAAAGTTTGGGCCTCCCTTTGGTCTCTACTTGGCCTGGTTTGAGATCAGGTACCTTTATTGATGTTATGTGCCCCTCCCACGCCCTCCCCTGGCAGTGTCCCGCTACTGCCAATCTCTTTCTTATAGTAAATAATGTGTGTTCTTAAGCTAGTTTCTGAAACTTGAGGTTGTTTTTTCAAAAAGGAAGCAGGCATCAGATATTGGGTTGGAAATCATCTCTATTAATTCATTTATCCAATGCCTAATTTCGAATTAGTTGCATAAATAAAACAAGAGCTTCCAGGAGCACATGACAATAGAGATTGGCTGCAGCAAAAGTAATGTGTGAGGAAATGGTGTGGGATGAGGCTGGTCAGATAGACTCATGCCACGTGTGCTTTGCAGAACCTCACTGTGATGCTACGGTATCACCTGTGAGATCCTTGCACCATCATGTTCCTCCTCCCTGTTAACTACAGTGCTGTCTGGTCAGTTTGTAAAACTCTGTACAGAAAATAGGCTGTTGTCTGTATGGTACTTCTGGAAAACTTTTCACCATATATTAATGGTTGTTACAGGATAAGTATTCTGTGAGCGAGTGAGTTTGGTAAACCCTGGGTTCAATAGATTTTGATTAACAGGGATAGAGTAACGAGGGTTCCCAAACCTGTTTCACCAAGGAAACATTTTTCAGGGAGTGCATTGGACTACTGTGTCCTGAAACCTTTTCTTCCTCCTCTTTCCTTCCTTCTCTAGGGCAATACAGAGGTGTTAAATAAGGATGGGTTACTCCTGACACAAAGGTTTATGTTGGCCATGTTGACAGGTGATGTTCTCAGAAAGCCCACTTGAGGCATTTAGAGCCAAGTCGTCTGCAGGGAACGTGAGCAATAATCGTGTCAGAAAGTTGACCTTCCGTTATATACTCTTTAAATTCTTATTTTTCTCTTTTAAGGACTCTCAAAATTATTGTACATGGTCATCATTTTCCCTGCTCTTCTTTGTATCTTAATGTAAGTTTCAAAAAAAAAAAAAAAAATTTTTTTTTTTATTTTTTGAGAAAACAGGATTTATTGAGAGGACAGAAAAGCTCCCAGAGCAAGAGGGGATCCAAGGGGGCTGCCCAAGTTTCAAATGTGAAAGTAATAAATAACATTAGGTGAAATTCTACTTAAATCTCATTTATTACTCATTTTTATGCATTTATTCATCCAACAAATATTTACTAGGTGCCTTCCAAGTTCTAGCACTATTTTAATAAAAACCAAACAAACAAACAAACAAACCGAAACAAAGCTTCTGCCTTAATAAAATTTATATTCCAGGTGAGGAAGGCAGGGGGGAGGGGGGAGGGGCACATAACATCAATAAGGGTGTCAGATCCTAATCCAGGCCAAGTGAGGTCCAATGGGAGGCCCAAAACGTCACCTGGACCTAAACCACTTATGTACCCAATCCTGACTTGTACCCTACAACTTTAAAAGAAAAAAAGAAATAATCTGTAGCCTCAAGTTGCAATTAGAGTAAAGTGCATGAGTTTTTCACAAACAAAACAAAACAACAACAACAATAACAAAATATATTCTTCAAGGGGCAACAGTCAATGAATATATAATATAATGTCAAATAATAAAAATAGCAGTTAATGTTTACTGGAGGGTCTTGCTATGTGCCAGGCATGGTTTTGAGTGTTTTACTTATATCATTGCATGTAATCTGCGTAATCTTTTGAAGTAGGGACCAGGAAAACCCTCATTTTGCAGATGAGGGACCTGGGACACAAAGTGTTAAGTAAGATGTCCAAGTCACGAAGTTCAACCCCAAGAAATCTAGCTCTGGAGCTTGCAGTCACAACTCTCATGCTAAACGCTATGGGGAAAACAAATAAGGAAAAGGAAAATACAGGGAGTGGAAGGAGATGGTAAATGATGTGGTCTGGAACGTTATTCTAGATAACAGGTGGTTAGCGAGCCCTCTCTGAGAGATGCTCTCTATAGAAAGCTCTCTGTAAGAGTCTAATGTCAGCATGTTGCATTTACTTGTCATGTCTTTTTAGACGCTTTCAACCTGGAATCATTCCTCAGCCTCTCTTCATCTTTCATGTTATTGATATTTAAAGGATATGGGCCAGCTGAGAAAGTCTCTATTTGGGTTTGGTGTTAATTTTACTCACTGTAAGCTTTCTTCACTGTAAAGTTACCATTTTCCCTTTGTAATTAGTAAGTAATCTAGGGAGATATTTAGAGACTATCCTATTTGAGGTAATCCTATTTGAGAATATCCCATTTTCTATCTGACTTTTACCCAATGGTCTTAGCATTCATTAATGATTCTTGCCTGAAGCAACTGTTGCTATGATGCTTACAAAATTGTAATTTTCTAGTTGTATTCTTCTTTCTACATATATTGGCATTTTACTTTATAGAAGAATCTCCTATCTGTTATCTACCAATCAATCACCATCATCATCTATATCATCTTTATCATCAGAATGGATTCTTTTTTGGTTCAGTAGTTATCATCCATTACTGTCATTGTTTACTTTGATGTTCTCATTGCCCTTGGTTTGATTTATGAAAGCCCCTTGTTCTGGCTTCTATATCCTTTTCATTTGATTTCATTATTTTTGGAGAATGTTTTTCCTTTATGGTACAACAAGATATTCCAGGCTTAACTTTTTTCACTCTGGTTCTAGAAGCAGTCACTCTCCAAGAAACCCTCATTCCTTTTTGTGGTAATGGCATTTAGAAACCAAGATCTGTGGGCTAAATATGTTCACTGTTATTGGAGCATCAGACTCTACCTTTCATGAGACAAATGAAAGATGAGTCAACATAGATATATACAATTACATTCCAATACCATAGGGCTCTTCCTTGCCTTCTTCTAGTCCATATGTATGTCTTTCATTTTCTTGAATTGCAGCATTGACAGTCACACAACAAAAATAATTTCAGAATAGCTACACTCATATCACTAAAAAAGACAAATCTGCTTGAGCAGTTCAAGAACTTTTTGTCATTTTTTGAAATGCAGTAATTCTTTTGTTCTTTTCTTCTTCTTCTTCTCCTTCTCCTTTTCCATCTCCCTCTCCTTTTCCTTCTCCTTCTCCTTCAGTTGGAGTCTCACCCTGTTGCCCAGGCTGGAGCGCAGCAGCATGCTCACAGCCACCCCAGCCTTGACCTGCTGGGCTCAGACGAGCCTTCCGTCTCAGCCTTCCAAGTAGATGGAACTACAGGCATGCACTACCACACCCGGCTATTTTTTTTTTAATTGTAGAGACGAGGTCTTGCTAAGTTGCGCAGGCTGGTCTTGAACCCCTGAGCTCAAGCAATCCTCTCACCTCAGCCTCCCAAAGTGCTGGGATTATAGACTTGAACCACTACATCTGGCTGAAAAGCAGTAATTCTTCCCTAAAGAATTTCTAAATCTCCCCATTTTTAAAGCCACATAACAGAAAAATTAAGTGACTTTCCTAAAGCCGCACAATGAACAGATTATATAAATGAGAACTACCAGCCAGAATTTTCGACTCCTTAAGGCAAGTGCTCTGAGAGGAAACATTTAGCTTCCAAATTCTACAGCTGCTGTTAGAAAAGACAGATCATGTCCTTCGCCTAAGGTCTTTTCACATTAAACAATTCTGACACCAACACCAGCACCTTGGTTCCTCCCATGGATATTCTGATATGATTAGTCTGGATGTGACTTGGGTCTAGGAACTTTGGAGAGCTCCCTGGGGGCCTCCTCTGTGACATAGCAACGGCAACACAGCTGGAAAGGGGCCAGCAGGCTGAAGATGCTTACAGGTGTCCTCAGATCACCTACATCAAAGTCCAGGGCGGTGGAAAGGGCTGGCAGAAGTGGTTTCTAAGCTGAGACCTGTGAGATGATTTGGAGGTGGACCAGGGAAGAGTGCCAGGCAGGTCGAAGGCGTGTTTCCAGGCCCCACCGCCAGCAAGAGCAGGGGTTCTGGGGTCTGTGGCAGGAGGGGCAGGAAGAGACGGACTGGACAGGTGGGCTGATTCACGAGTGACCTCAGAAATGGTTTGGTCTTCAACCTGAGTGCAGGTTGAGGAAGCAGTTGGCTTTGCTACTTAGGAAGCCGGCTCTGGATGCATCGTAGAGAACCAGGAAGGAGGAGGGCGAGAGTGGGCGAGGAAGAGCCGGCTGCAGGCTGCTGCCAGGCAAGGTGAGGACGCTCTGAATTTGGAAATGGCAGAAGAAGAACCGCCTCGTATTTAAGAGAGGGAATCAATAGAAATTGTTCATTGATTCAAGGGAAAATTGAGGGTGAGGAGAATTTTAATTCCTCCCAGATACCCGGAAGTCTTAGAAACTCTGGAGCAGAAGCAGGCTAAGAGGTTAGAGCAGGAAGGGGTATCAGTTCAGTTCATCGGGATGGTGAGTGTCTTCCCTTGAGCAATAATCCCTCATTCACTGGGTATTTTTGAGTACTTTCTATGTGGTAGGCATTCGGGATATCATAAAGAATCAAGGCGGATAACTCTTTGGAGATTACAGTATAGTGGGAAAGAGAAACCTTAATCAAATGTGAAACATCCATGCCTGTGGGGGCTCCACAAAATGGAGCATTAAAAAAAAAAAAAGACTCCCCGGGTGATTCACATGCACAGTCAAGGTTGAGAGCCACGGCTTTAGCTTTTAACGAGGGTAGCGGCGGCTCCCGGCTTCGCTACTGCTTTGTATTTCTGTCAGTTCTCTGCTTCAATAGCATGCACAATGAGAACTGCCGAGCATGGATAGGACATATTCTGGAAGGGTAGGCATCAGAAGGACCCACAATGTGGATAAGCCCCATGATCGCACAGTCAGCATCTGCCCTTTCACCTGTATCTGCAGCCTGATGTAGAGATGCCCGAGAGCGTTTCACAAAGGAATGAACAAAGGACAGGGTGGCGGGAAGGCTTTTTAAAAAATCTTTTCCATATTTACCACATTTTAAAATAATGAATATGTATATTTAGAACCAAGTAAGCTTCCCTACATGTAAGAGGAGACCCCAGTGTAGAGTGAATACCCAGCCTAGGGTGTGTGTGGGTGTGGGTGTGTGTGTGTGTGTGTGTGTGTGTGTGAATATGCTGTTGGCAGAAGGGCCCAGGAGGAGGGCCTTCATGCTGTGAGTTCTGGAGTGGCAAGCTTGAGGACAAGCCCTGGTGTTTCCTTGTCCTATTACAAAGTACTTATCGATCCCTTTTGATGTATGAGGAGTGTGCTTGGCACATGAGCTCACAGTATTTTATGATATATCCTACCTCTAAGTTGGCTTAATTCAGGGGTTGTGAAGCACCTTCCCAGAATTGTTGTGTCTTTACAGTATAGTTGTGATACAGACATAGTTTTGAGTCCACAGATAAGGAAACGGAGGTTTAGAGGAGTAACGTTTTCTACCTAACTCTAGAAGAGCAAAGATCTCTATATCCTGTTTTCAGCGATATTCCCAGTGCTCAGCACAGTACCTGGCACATAGTGGATGCTCAGCAAATACGGAGAATGAATGAATGTGTGAATGAATGATGAATGAGTAACAGAGCCAAGACTCAGAACGACTCCGGATTCAGTGACCATGATACAACATTGCCAGTGGGAAAGGCAGGGAAAGGGGGTCCAAGGATGAATGAGATGGAGCTACCTATAGAAAGCAGGGACGGTAAGGGACGAGTTGTAGTGAAAGGCCTAGAGAGCTGGGGAGAGCTAGGGATTATGGGCACAGCCAATAAGCATGACTTTTTTTTTTTTGAGCTGGAGTCTCACTCTGTCGCCCAGACTGGAGTGCAGTGGCCGCTCCTGGCCACCGCAGCCTCGACCCACTGGGCTGGCTTCCGCCTCAGTCTTCCAAGTAGGCGGAATTACAGGCACGCATTACCACGCCCGGCTGATTTTTTGATTTCTTGTAGAGATGAGGTCTCGCTGCCCAGGTGGGTCTCGAACCTGTGGGCTCAGGCAATCCAGTCACCTCAGCCTCCCAAAGGCACGGCCACTGAGCCCGGCAAGCATGACTTTTGTAGGTAGGATGCATGTGGCGAATTCCCAGCCCGTCAACCGGCTGTGTGATCATGAGTATTTCAAGAAACCTCTCTGAGCCATGATTTCCTCATCTTTGAGGTAGGGTCAGTAATACCAACTTACCTCCTCAGGATGCTGTATGGATTAAAGGTCGATATGTACATAAACTCATTTTGCAAACTCTAAAGAGCTATATGCATACATTAGTTATTTGTTATCACTGTTACTTTAAGCTTGTTGTGTGAAAGGGTCTTTGGAGACACCACATTTCAGTTTCTCATTTTACCTCTTGAAACACAAGCCACGGCTGGTCTTTATACTTTGGAAACAGCCCAGCATGTATGAAGTGAATGTTAAAACGTCTGGAGATTATGGGACCAGGATTCTACTGAAATCCCTGGCACAATAGAATATCATCTTTAAAAGTTTGAATAAGATTCTTTGTCTTGGTTCAAAGTTTGTCAGAATGTTGGCTGTTTTTGCTGTCCTGCAAGGAAGTGCAAGTATACGAAAGTGAAGCCTACTTGTGAAATTGCAAAGCATCTTTATTTACTCCTGGGCACCATGCGTATACGTATAACAAACAACGATGAATCCTGATTGTCGAAGTTTAAGTAGCATCTTAATGAGTGAACTGACTGTTTTCTCCCTCATTCCTGTTATGTAGTAGTTTTTATTCTAGTGAAGAAACAGGATCTGCTTAGAAGGTGGGAGGGCTGGAAAGGGTAGCATCGTGGTGAGAGCCAGGGCTCTTCTGCCTTGGACGCAAAGATCTAGACTGTAGCTTCAGTTCAGCCACTAGCCGTGTGCCTTTGAGATAGTAAAATGAGGCGAAAGCGTACCTAAAAGGGTCATTGTGGGGATTAAGGGAATAATAAAAAGGCCTACAAAGTATTTACCTATTAGGAAGGTCAGTGATGCCATCGATCAAGGCAGTTTCCACTAAAGTCATTGCCAGCGGTATCTTGAGACACAAGAGTGAGCGGCCACCCCAGAGAGCCTTACCTTCTTTCTCCCTTTTTTCCTGTAGGCAGTTCTTCATTCGCCAGCAAACCGACCACACCAACCGGGCTGGGCGGAGGATTTCCACCTCTCAGCTCGCCGCAGAAAGCGTCTCCCCAGCCTATGGGTGGAGGGTGGCAGCAGGGAGGTGGCTACAGCTGGCAGCAGCCACAGCCAAAGTCGCAGCCCGGCCTGCCGCACTCGTCTCCCCAGAACAGACCCAACTACAACGTGAGCTTCTCGGCCGTGCCCGGGGGCCAGAACGAACGGGCAAAGGGCTCCGCGAATTTGGGTAAGGATGCTGGCGTGGGAGCTAGCGACAGGGTGGCCTGTGTGTGTTGTCGTAACGCCTGGGTGTGTATGTCTGAAGGAGACAAAAAACAATTCAGCAGTTTCCGAGGCAATCTTATAGGTGTGGAGACACAACGGGATCCTCCAGCGCTGTACTTGGGGCATCCTGGCTTGAGCCCACACTCCTAATCTTTATGCCACAGGCCCACTTGTCTCTCTCCAGCCTGGACCCCGATGGAGGCCAAGGACTGCGTCTTATCCGCCATGTTATCGTTAACATAGAGTAGGCTCTAAATGAATGTTGAGTGGATGCGAGTGGAGCGGTGGATGGATCTTAATGCTGTCTTTCCTTTGGAGAAGGGATAGAAGAAAAAAGTTGGGGACTTTTTGAGCCCTGGGATCCCAATTAGAGAAGTGCATGTTTTTTGGACGTTTGGTCTTTCTTGTGCTCTGGTTGGCCGATTCATGAGATCAGCAGAGAACCTTGATGATGTCAGTACTTGAGGCTGAAGGATCATCTGGGTGGATTTCTTGACAATGTGTGGAAAATGATATTTTTGCATAGCAGGGATGGTTCATGTGGGGTTTACTAAAAGGCTGTTCCGGTGTATTTTACATCTCAGTTGATTCGGCAAGACCCTCCAGGGAAGTATATAAGAACAAGATTCAGGAACAGGACTTTCTTTCTGTAGAACATGGAAAAGGCAATGCTTCTACTTTTCCAGTAGCAGTGGTTTACTGTTTATTGAGTACTTACTACGTGCCAGGTACTACCTTAACACTTTGATGTACAATCGTCCTCCCTTATTTGCAGTTTTATCTTCTGCAGTGCTAGTTATCTGCAGCCAACTGTGATCCAAAATATTAAATGGAAAATTCCAGAAATGCATAATTCATAGGTTTTTGAGTTTGTGCTTTTATGAGCAGCATAATGACACCTGGCACCTTCCTACTCTGTCCTGGTTGAGATGTGAATTGTTACGTAGGAGGCGTCTCATTTATCAGATGATAAAAACATAGTACCGTTTATAGAGAGTCCAGGACTATCCTTGGTTTCAGACATCCTCGGGAGTCTTGGAACATATTCCCTATGGAGAAGGAGTGACACCTGTATTGTTTTCTATCATCTTAAAAACCAACCCCATGTGTACACAGGGAATCTGTGACACAGATCGATCATTGCCTACATTAATATAGCTTGTAAGTACTGGAGCTGGGATTTGAACCCTGTCAGTCTGGCTCTAGAACCCCTACCCTTAACTGCCACATTCTACTGGCTAGAGCACAGGTGCCTTGGCATGCCACTAGCAGGTTAGGAATTCTGTTGTTGGGACTGTGTAACATCATGTTTGTTATTTGGCTAGGAGGGGCTCTTCCCCGAACAGTTCCATAGCATCACGTGGCTTCCCCTCTGTCTTTTTCGAGTAGATACAGAGCGAATGGCTTCAATATTTATGGAGCATCTTCAGTGCAGAAAACATTGAGGATTCAGCAGTGAACAGGACAGACAAAATTCCCGGTCTCAGAGCGCTTCCATTTCAATGTGTGTGTGTGAGTGTGTATCCAGAACGTCTCACAGTTTAAAGATAGTAAATGGATTTCAACTCAGAAACAGATTTTGGTTGATTGGCAGGGACTGCAAGGACTGTTGTGTTTTGGTTCTATTTTGTTTTAATTTAACGGACATTTAGATAGGCAGGCACTATTCTAAGCACTCAAAATGTGAACGTATTCTTTCTCACAACAACCCTATGAGGTAAGTCATATTATTAACACCATCTTCATTTTACAGATGAGGAAAACATAGAGACATAGTGATGATAAGTAACTTGCCTGCTAGTAAGCCGTAGAGCTGGAACTCAATCCTGGGAACTTTGGGTCCAGAGTTTTTTCTCTTTATCAACACCTCTCCAAACAGATTGAGAGAGGTTGTGAGGCCACAGCCAGGCTTGACAGGAAAAAGCACTGCGATAGACTGAAATATAGCTAGGTGTGGGAAGGGAAGTGGTGGCATGCATGGATTTCAAGTACCAAGCCCAGGTCCTAGCCCCATCATGGATGCTAATTAGTAATGGCTGGGAAAAATCATGAGTATCCTCATCTAAAAAGAGGGTCCCGTAGAAATGGAATTGGATTTAGTTTAATCATCCAGAATCTAGTTCTGTCCTTGCCATGTACATGTTCTGTGACTCTGGACAGATTCATTTTCCTCATCCGTAAAATGGGTACAAGAGTCTCTTATACTTACTTCTCACAGGGTCAGTGTGAGGGTTAAGGAGCTTAGTGCATATAAAAACATCCTGACAATTCTAACTGCTATGACAGTGTTTAAGAATAAAAACTATAATGATTTCTTTTTTTTTTCTGAGTTGGAGTCTCACTGTCGCCCAGACTGGAGTGCAGTGGCCACTTCTGGCCACCGCAGCCTCGACCTGCTGGG